CCTGGCCACACAATATAGCTTAATTGAGTGTCTTATCACGTAGAAATGTATAGCATCCAAATACTCTAAAAAACATGTTGTTTCTAAATGTGGAGGAAAACCCCAGAGAACCCGGAGAAAAATCCACGTGACCACGGGGGGAGAGAGATACAAACTCCAAATCGACACGTGTCAGAGTCGGGATGACCTTCTTCATAGCAGGCAAGGTAGTTATAACATCTCGCCACGGAGTACCCTGACAATTAACTAGCAGCGGTGAACCCGTTCACATCGCTGAGTGGACAGATGCAGAGGGGGGGGGGGGGTTAATAAACCCGCACTGTTGTGTCAGTGCCGGCACCCTCTGGATCGCAAGTCCGGCGCGCCGGCCGCTGACGCCGGTGGCCCCAAACGCTTCGTGTCGTGCTGACGAACTCGCTCGGTGCTAAGAGGCTTTAGGAAAGGCGCGGCACAATGATCTTCTGTGGGAGTGCTAGAGTGGATTCTTGCTATTCTAAGCTGAATGATAGTCAATGCGAATACAATACCATTGACTTTGCAATTACCTCTAACAAGCGCACACGTCATAGTTAATTTGCAAACCCCATGTCCGTGCCACACTGCTCCGTGGAACACTTATGCAACGGCTTGTCGCGACACGCCGCTTGCTATTAATACAGGCACACGACTGCACAGCATTTGACAGCAATAAGAGTGGTGGCTATAGTTCAACATAGCAATACAATCTCTTCATCATTGTCGTCATTAGCCATGCTCAATCCACTGCTGAATGGAGGACACGCCACACCGCCACTGTCACCCCCTTTCACGATTCCACGGTGCAACAATCCACCAAACACTTGGCACACAAGCTGATTTCGCCGCTCCATCTCGTCGGTAGACGTTCCCCGGATGGGTTCCGTCCCTTTGGCTCCCACTCCATAGTTTATTGTTCTTGCTCGCTGCTCTGATTTGCACACGAGGCCTGCACGAGACTGCGTCTGTTGGTCTGTTACAGCGATGCTTTATTTTTCTCATGAAAATAAAAGCACGGAAAATGACCCGCCCAAGAAAACCAACCCACCGTAAGATGTGGCTGATCTAAGCGGAGTTGACCCCGGTTCGTATGTCGATGGGTGACCACCAGTGCTTGCCAGGTGTTGTAGGCACGCAGACTCGGGTCTGTCTGCGGAGTGGATCTCTGTGGGTGCAGAGCCTCTGAGGGTTCACGCCTCGTGTGCAAGGAGGGTTCCCCCCCCCCCCTTCCTCCCGCACGAAGCCAAATTGTTGTTAAAATGGAATTCATGGCCAAACATCCCCCAATGTAGCTGCACCCTCTGGCCGTCGCCTGATGAAGCTAGTTGTAATTACTGTCGAAACGTCGTCCTCGGATTGTAAATGTTGTGGCTTGGCTCTCCAACACACCGGTGTGCTGTACTAGTGACGAATTGGCACGTTCTGTTTACATGACAACCCTTACTAGTTGGCTGTGTCGGGTGGTGGCAGGTTTAACGACACATTTTTTTTTCACGCGATCTAACCCAAAGCAACCTCTATCATAGTTAACATCGCGTTGCGTGGATCACTACATCGCAGGGTTCCGAGAAAGGTGGCAGCAGCTTGGGAGAGGCCTTCATACAACAGTGGATTGACAGAGGAGGCCAATGACGATGACGATAAGAATGTAACAAAAAATGTCGAAATATATCCGTTGCATCTTGCCTAACGCAACGCATATTACGTCACACGTGCTCCCACAGCATCCACAGGTTCGGGACATTAGCTGCGGGGGAGTTTTTTTCTTCTGGCAAAAGGTCGTTCCGATTTAGAACCCCCCCACCCCACCCCTCCCAACTCCAGATCTGCCAGTGTCTGAGACCATCAAATGTCCTTTTGAGGTTCACTGCCAGTGCATGGGCTGTTGGCTGTGCTGCAGGTGTGCTGAGCAGTGGGCACGCTGAGCACACAGCCCATTAGGCTGCCTAATGTTGTCCATCGCGGCGTCGTCCCCACAGCCCTTCACGCCTGCCCAGCGCACCGCCCCTCCGACGCGTCGCGCTCCGTGCGTGTGTGTGTGTATGTCCATGTTTGGTGAACTTCTTTCAAGCTGCATGTAACGTAGCGGTTAGCGCTTCGCTGCGCTCCGAACACGGCCACCCGAGTTCAATCCCCGCTCATGTCCGGTCTTCCCCCCCCCCCCCTCTCCGTACCGCTCCACGCGCTCGCAGCTTCGTTTCACTTCCTTAAGAAGCTCCCATCCACGTGGAGCGAACCGTCGGACAACGCGGCAAAAACACATCAGAGAGTTAGGCAGCACAACATCGCGAAAAATAGAAATGTACGCGGCACAGCAAGATCGCGAGTCATCAATAACTGGTGGATGAAGACCTCCCGTACTCTGCATTTACTTCACCACTCTGGTCAGTGCGGGGCGGTGCAGGGAGGCCACCAGCAGTCGGTTCAGACATCACTCACCACGGATGCATCAGCCGATTCTGGCAAAGGGCAGCATTGTGAAGCTGGTTGTAATCACTAGCGGTTAGTGCTGATCTCGTGCCAAATCGCCACGTTTTGTTCACGTGACAAACCTTACTAATTGGCGATGTCGGGTGGTGCTGGGTTAACGACACATTCATAATGACGTCATCCAACCCCTTATGATGAATGATTTTGGTCGCGAACGTGTCAAACTGACTGACCACTGATGTTAGCCACGGCCAGCAATTGAACTTCGCTCACCGGGTTCGTAGCGGTCGCGTGCAAACCATCGTGCCGCCACCGCCGCCTCTGTCCCTGTTAGCCGTCACAGCGCTGTGGGGATAAAAAGAAGAGAAACCTGCAGGTTCCACTGACTCGCACTCGCTCAGTCACCCTGTGCAAGGGGGCATCAGTCCCTGGCGTGTTTACATTCTCCCCCATCACTGCAGGAAACTGAACGTGGTGATGGTGGTGGTGATGACGGCGACGATCAGAACCTCGAGAGGAGCTCGCGTAACAATGGTGACAATGGTGAGATTGCGGCGGAGAGCGGCGCAATTCGATTTGGATTGATGGAGCGACGGCGGAATGAGACGTGGGAATGAGACGTGGGAATGAGACGGGGGAATGAGACGTGGGATTGAGACATGGGAATGAGACATGGGAATGAGACGTGGGAATGAGACGTGGGAATGAGACGTGGGAATGAGACGTGGGAATGAGACGTGGGAATGAGACGTGGGAATGAGACGTGGGAATGAGACGTGGGACTGAGACATGGGAATAAGACGTGGGAATGAGACGTGGGAATGACACGTGGGAATGAGAAAGGCGTCTCGGCGTTGCGTCACGCGCGCCTCGCCGCGCGCTGGCAATGGGTCAGGCGGGGGTCCAGATATCCCGCCGAGAGGGGTGGTGGTGTGAACCGGAGAGAAATAAACTAAAGCTATTTTAATTTTCACCAGTCGAGACCCACTGAGCTCTGTAGCTCGTTTTTTCAGAAGCAACCTGGCCACAAATTATAGCTCAACTAAGCGGCGTATCACGTGGAAATTTATAGCAGCAAAATCATCAAAACAATCTAGACGCCAGTTTCTAAACGTAGAGGGAAACCTGGGACCCGGAGAAAAATCCACGAAACCACCGGGAAGACATGCAAACTCCAAGTATACAGCAGGCGTCAGGGTGGGGATCTCCTGCATACCCGGCGAGGGAGTTAACATCTCGCCACCGTGGCAGCCATGGGGGCACATCCATCACAATTTCTCGTTGTCCTCTGATGAGACGGCAGCCAACGCAAACATCGCCGCAGCATTGGCGCGCTGCGCGAGTCGGGGGTTCGTTTGCGCGCACGTGGCGTGGCAGGTGGCGCAGTGGTTAGCACACTGGGCTGTGGACCCACTGAGGCTGAGTTTGATTCCCACCCACGGCCAACATCGGTGGCGAGTGACACTGGAATCTTTCCTGAGCCTCTGTCTCTCCCACTCCCTCTCTCCTCTTTCTGTGTCTAGTTTGTTGACCTTCCCCTGTACCTCCAACGAGCACGGTGGGCTACGTCGTGTTGCGAAATGAGTTCAACAACAACACACACACATACACACATACATAAATACATACGTCCTGTCAGCCTCAAGATGACAACGTGGTGCAGTGGGTCAACAAACAACAGCACCGGGGAGACAAAGGCAGCCCTGCAGGTGTGGTGTTGGTCCCACCTCCCTCCTGGCGTTCAGCGCCGGCATCAATAGGCGCTCGCTAACAACATTTGCCCCAACAGTCTGTTCGAGGCTACATGGAGGCGCTCCCCAATCGCATCGGATCTTTGCATCATGCGCACTCACGCACATACCGCACAAGCACACTCGTATCTGCTCTCTCTCTGCCCTCTCTTGTATGTGCTCTGAAGAAGGACCATTGCCCGAAACGTCACCTGTTATCTTTGTTTTACTTTTAAGGCCACACAACGGTGCTATTGACGAACGCCTTGCCTTGTTGTTGTCGTTGTTTGTGCTTGTGCACCACTGCCAGCCCAACAGCAGCACCGAATAATGTGTATTTGCCTGTCTTTGCTTTCTCCTGTGTTGGCTTTGTGTGTGTTTCCACAGAGTGTGTGTGCAGGCATTGCTTGCGTGTGTGCGCATTCTGTTGTCTGAGGGCATACGAGTGCAGTGCATGTCACCGGCCGAATGTAAAGATGTCATTTCTCATCAAACGGCCCCGGTGCGTGTCAATCGAACGCTCGCAAATTTGCGGCCGGTGATTAATGGGCGCAGAAATGTTGTTCCACCGCGCGGGCCGCCGCGTACCGCCAGGCTTGCCCGCGAACTCTCCCTCGGTGCCCTTTACTCTGATAGGGCCGTGTTTAATCATCGCGGTGTTTAAATGTTAAACAGCGACATCGCGCCGGACACGACACGGCGTCGCGGCGGCCGCGTGATGATGACGGCCACGGGCCGCGTGCGCGCTGCACGCTCGCGGACGCACCACGAGACGGAGCTGGTAGCGGATCAAACTGTGGCCGTGCCATCGTCAAGAAGAGGGCAGTTAACGACGTTGACGCCTTCCAACCGCCACGATCGAAAGCGTTTAGATCTGTCCGTGATTCTGACTGTCGATAAACTAATAACTCAACTCGTTTTATTCTCCCAGGTAAGGCCCACTGAGCTGTGCAGTTCTTTATTTCGAAACCAACGTGGCCGCAAATGGCAGCTCAACGAAGTGGCTTGTCATCTGGAAATGTATAACAGCCAAATGCTTTGAACGCGTGTTGATTCTAAATGTGGAGGGCCCAGGGAAACACGTCCACGCAACCACGGGGAGAGAGACACGCAGACTCCGAACGTACAGCGAGTGTCAGGGTTGGGATCAAACACACGACCTCATTAATACCAGGCGAGGCATTTAACATCTCATAGCAAGAGGGGACTACCGTAACTCTCGAAAAGAGGATCCGATATAAACATAACTCGACTTGCCCTGTATATAAAACAAAATTGGCCAAATTGACCATTGAGCAAAGAAGATAGATTTACAAACATATAACGGCGCTTTGTCCTGACAGCTACCCATTAATTTCCACGTCGCTAACGAAATACTTCCAGAGATAAACGCACGATAGAACGCGTCGCATAATCCACGCGTTGTGAATTCTAGTTCTACTAAATTGTTCAACTTATCACGGAGAAAAACATTTCCCAAGATGCAAATGAGCAAAATTGTGAATGTGTGAGCGTTTACATCTTTCACTCATTGTCAGTTCACAGTGAACGCCCAGTCCTGCGTGTTCTACAAATGATTAGATTGTGAAACATTTTCTTTTTTCATCTAAGTAACATCTCTCCCTTTCTCAGTGGGCTACATCTTTCTAACGTGTTAATTTACATGTAAGTTTATACTCTCGACGGGTTTGTAAAAGTTTGACGCACACATTATCTTAACAAGTCACGTAAGCCCCCACTGATCCGTGGAGCTCTTTTTCAGAAGCGACTTGGCCACAAATGATATCTCAACGAAGTAGCTCATCACGTGGAAATAAATGGAGAGCAGCCAAATACTCTAAACGTACGTTCATTCTAAACGTGGTGGGGAAAACCCGGAGATAAAACCAGACGACTGCAGGGAGAGAGAACATGCAAACTCTAAATCTACAGGTGCCAGGGTCTGGATGGAACCCACGACCTCTTCTTTATCAGGGGAGGTAAGTAGCATCTCGCCACCGTGATGCCCTAAGTAACATATCTCTCCTGATTCTCAGCGGGCTGCATCTTGAACATTTTACGTGGACATTATCTAAACAAGTCAACGCGTCTCCCCGTTGGAATGAGCCGTGGGGTGGAAGTCACCTTTATTGGCGGTGCCGAGCCACTGGCGAAAAAATAACCACACAATCCCACGAACGAACGCTCACTAATGGAGTTGGTCAAACATCCAAAATATAGAACCACAGAGCTTTGGCAATTGCAGCTAACGCCGGCTTTGGCTGCCTTGCTTTCTTGTCTGCGGTTCCCCGCGCCTCCGTGCGACATCTGCGAGCATTACAAATCACACATCGTTTTCTTGTGATGTGAATTTGCACGAAGGGCGCTGTGTAACGTAAGGGGGGTTATCGTTGAGACGTTGTCACGATGGAGGGGGCCAAGTATGCTCAGCTGCTTGACCGATGTTGACGTCTCGCAAAGCGCTACCAATTTTTTTCTTATCAGCTTTAGATAAATGATAGACTGCGTTGACCCCTAAAAGTAATAATACACACAAACGGTGATTTATAGAGCGCAAAGGTAGAATTGTGACTCTGGGATTGGTCATCCCATCATTCCTTGCACGTCACGTGATATCACCACACTCTGTGTGTAATGCAAAGCCTTGTTTTAGACCAAATGACTCAACAGAGTCAAGATTGCAGGCATTTGTTTTTTAGCCAGCCGCAATAACATGCGATTAATTATCATTGTGATGATTACGCTTGTTTACCCCGAAAGGTTTAACTGAGTCTCATCACTCCTTTTCAGGAGAATCCTGCCAAGAATTCACAGCAGTGAATGCTACGTTTATTCCAACCGAGTAATTTGCCGGGTTTATTTTTCAAATTTAGACCGTGGAGGTCTGTACATAATGTCACCATCCTTGCGAATTATGTCACGGGATCTTTAACGTCCACTGTGAATCGAACGGCCGGTATTATGATATTGGTCCAAACACACCACAGTATTAACCAGGGCGGCCGCTGGATTTTAACTGGCAAGCTCTGTAACGAGCAGCAAACGCCCTACCGCTGAGCCACATCACTGCCCCAATAGCACTTTCACAACTGCATACTGGTTTCATCATAGTTAGGAATCATCAGTGCAGTGTAGCCATCAACGCCTACTCCTGCCTTGGGCCTCAGGGAGTCTACGTGGCACTGCCCAAGTACGACAATAGACCAAGTCCAACGCACACGGTGCCACTCCCCTGTGTCAGAGATTGGCAGCAGGAAATAAAATCACCGCATTGTGTGAGTTTAGCAATCAAATCAGCGTGTGTTTCGGAGGCGAGAGAGATTGCTACATAGCAGGATCGTGACATTTAACAGCAGAGACCTAATCGCAGCAGCGGATAGATCATGGCTGATTACGACAGTGATATATTGTCCGGGTGTTTGGCGGTATTCCTCTGTTGTGTTTGTAATGCTGGTAGGAACCTCCTGGTTACACCAGCCCACAGGGGATTATTGTGACCGTCCGTCGTGCATCCAAAAATGGGAGGGGTGGGGCTGGGTGGAGAGGGGAGGGGCTGGGTGGGGAGGGCCTGGGTGGGGAGGGTGGGGAGGGGCTGGGTGGGGAGGGGTGGGGCTGGGTGGAGAGGGGAGGGTGGGGAGGGGCTGGGTAGGGAGGGTGGGGAGGGGATGGGTGGGGAGGGTGGGGCTGGGTGGGGGGTGGGAGGGGTGGGGCTGGGTGGGGGGTGGGAGGGGTGGGGCTGGGTGGGGAGGGGCTGGTCACCCCGTGGTGCCCTTATAAAACTCAACGTTTAACCTACTCACGCCGGCTTGTGCCCGCCCTCACAATCGGCCATATTTGCGGAATACACCACGCCGCCGTTGACCCTGGCCATTGACCGAGCAACCCAACGTTCCTACCAGCTCCCTCCGCAGAAATGTGTTAATTTACATGTAATGTATTGAGGTATCGGCTGCATTTAGCTGCTCCATAAATCTGAATTGCATTGCAGGGACGTGACAACTGAAGTCGCTTCAATTGCTTCAACCACTGGAGGGAACAGACTTCATGTCTCCGTGCAAGCAGTGTCTGTCACGTGGCAGTCACATACACTGTCAAGTCTCAGAGACGGAACGATCGTAATTAAACGAAGCATCGGACCATGTCGACCAATGCGTATTGGTGAAGGTATGGTCCCGGACTAGTTCGATACCGCTTATCACTGATGTCACCAGATTCATAGTTTATTGTGTCGAGCACCGTGCCACCACTCCACCTAACTGTTTTTGCATGGGAACATTATTTTCAAATATACAAAGACATGAAGACACTATTATAGCTTTAAATGAATTAAAGTTTCAAGCTAATTTGTTTAACCAGGTGAGAACTCAAAGATACCAGGATGGCTCTCATTTACAAGAGTGGCCTGGGACGTTACCTCTGCCATTAGGGGGCGATGATTACTGTGTATATCCCAATTCAGTAATTTGTAGTTCATTGTCATATTATTTTGGAAAATCTGGACTCTGATGCCGGTACACAATGGCCCCCTCGTGCGAATGTCGTCACGCGTTCTTCAGCATCCACTGTGAAACACAAGCCACTGGGTAATGATTACGCTTCACACACACCGCAGTATTAACCAGGGCTGCTACTGGAACCAAACGGTGAACTTCTGCAAAAAGTCGCGAACTCGCTACCGCTGGGCTTGATGGCACTGGGCAGGAGAGTGTCGCGAGTGAGACCGAAGGAAGGGGCACAAATAAAATCACATCCACACAATTGCATTTTGCCTGTGTACTCTGGGGTTCTTAAGTACCGCTATCGGAGCAAGTTTGTGCCTTGTTCAAATGGCATTTCCAAGCACGGTTCATTAATCCAGTTCTGCTCGTTAACTAGCGAGAGACATTGTACGGCAGGGGCGAGAATAAAGTTCAGTATTTTATCCATTAAATTACGCACAATTCCACAAATTAATGAGAGAGACAAATTCCACAATTTGCTAACTGCCGTAAGTGCTGACTTTTTCAAAAGAACCCGTGTAAACCTCAGTTAATTAGATCATTGATTAGGAAATGCTGACGCGGCGAGTGAGGGGTTGTGTGTTTTGCAAGGCAGGGTCTGTGCTCGGTGGCCCTGCGTTCATTCACTGTTTGTCTTTAAACAATTAGCGAATGCTGATGCAGCCCTCACCCCCCCCCCCCCCCCCTGCGCCAGCCACCTCCCCACACTCTCCACGCTTGACATTGGCACGTTCTAAATATCCATCACGAACCACGCTGCTCGCCGCCTCTCTCCGCGGTCACGGTTTCGAGCGCAACGCCGTGTCCAGTCGTCGCAATCTTACGGGTGACCGCACTTCTGAGGCCGTCTGGAACGCTCTTCCTTTCGATATTAGGAAGCCACTGGAGCTATGCACTTTTAAATCTAAATGTAAAACGCTTTTCTTGACAACTGCTTTTCTGTGTTTGGTGTCCTTCTCTTACGCCTCTGATTAGCGCCGTTGGCTGCGTACGGTGCAAAGAAAGTTCAACATTCACACATTAAACATTCATAACGGTTCTAATTACGCGATCTAATCCAAAAATATATATTACGAATCAGAATATTGGTCACTGCAGAATCACACAATAATGCTAATGATTAATAATAAAAAATGAGAGCCCGTTGTCAATCCACGATTGGATGAAGGTGTTCCCATGTCGGTCATAACAATAATTACAATTTATAAAGCCCATTCCATCCTAGGATCCCAATGCGGTGATGGGCGTTGTGACTTCAGCGCGCTGGTCAGTGCGGGCTTAGTGAAGGAGGTAGGCTCCCACCAGTCCAGATAGCACTTGCCACTGGTGTTAGCAGATGCCCAGAGGGAATTAAACTCAGGTCACTGGGTTCACCGCACAGAGTACGATAACCACTGAGCCTCAACCGCAGCCTGCACAAGACACAATGTCACGCTTACAACACACACTTAACGCACGGGACGTTCATGTCATTGTTACTCATAATAACGGTTTACAGCTGTTTGTCAACCCACTGCTGGATGAAGACTTTCCCGTGCTCTATTGATCATGGTCAGCGTGCAGGGCTCAGGACATCACATCCCAGCGACGTGTGACCGTGGCTGGGAATTCAACTCAGGTGGTTTCATAGGTCCACTCAGCTACGACTCTCCCACAGTGTCACTCGAAATAATCCAGACGCTCTCTCCGCTGAAAAGGAACGGTCAATGCCGAACAAGAAACATTATTGCCTCCCACTGTGTTTATGTCATAAGTTTTGTTGGTTGTTATATGTATGACCACATATAATTATTCTTGGGTGGTGTGCAGGTGCCAAACATTTATTGAGTTCCCCTGCAGTACTATTAATATAGATATGCGTTAATATATTGACATCTGAATTTAAAATTCCAGACAAACTCCACTCTACATCCTGGCACCAGACAAACTCCACTCTACATCCTGGCACCAGACAAACTCTACTCTACATCCTGGCACCAGACAAACTCCACTCTACATCCTGGCACCAGACAAACTCTACTCTACATCCTGGCACCGGACAAACTCCACTCTACATCCTGGCACCAGACAAACTCCACTCTACATCCTGGCACCAGACAAACTCCACTCTACATCCTGGCACCAGACAAACTCTACTCTACATCCTGGCACCAGACAAACTCCACTCTACATCCTGGCACCAGACAAACTCCACTCTACATCCTGGCACCAGACAAACTCCACTCTACATCCTGGCACCAGACAAACTCTACTCTACATCCTGGCACCGGACAAACTCCACTCTACATCCTGGCACCAGACAAACTCCACTCTACAACCTGGCACCAGACAAACTCCACTCTACATCCTGGCACCAGACAAACTCTACTCTACATCCTGGCACCAGACAAACTCCACTCTACATCCTGGCACCAGACAAACTCCACTCTACATCCTGGCACCAGACAAACTCCACACCACATCCTGGCACCAGACAAACTCCACTCTACATCCTGGCACCAGACAAACTCCACACAACATCCTGGTACCAGACAAACTCCACTCTACATCCTGGCACCAGACAAACTCGACTCTACATCCTGGCACCAGACAAACTCCACTCTACATCCTGGCACCAGACAAACTCCACACAACATCCTGGTACCAGACAAACTCCACTCTACATCCTGGCACCAGACAAACTCAACTCTACATCCTGGCACCAGACAAACTCGACTCTACATCCTGGCACCAGACAAACTCCACTCCTACATCCTGGCACCAGACAAACTCAACTCTACATCCTGGCACCAGACAAACTCCACTCTACATCCTGGCACCAGACAAACTCCACTCTACATCCTGGCACCAGACAAACTCAACTCTACATCCTGGCACCAGACAAACTCCACTCTACATCCTGGCACCAGACAAACTCGACTCTACATCCTAGCACCAAACAAACTCCACTCTACATCCTTGCACCAGACAAACTCCACTCTACATCCTGGCACCAGACAAACTCCACACGACATCCTGGCACCAGACAAACTCCACTCTACATCCTGGCACCAGACAAACTCCACTCTACATCCTGGCACCAGACAAACTCCACACGACATCCTGGCACCAGACAAACTCCACACAACATCCTGGTACCAGACAAACTCCACTCTACATCCTGGCACCAGACAAACTCAACTCTACATCCTGGCACCAGACAAACTCCACACAACATCCTGGTACCAGACAAACTCCACTCTACATCCTGGCACCAGACAAACTCAACTCTACATCCTGGCACCAGACAAACTCCACTCTACATCCTGGCACCAGACAAACTCGACTCTACATCCTGGCACCAGACAAACTCCACTCTACATCCTGGCACCAGACAATCTCCACTCTACATCCTGGCACCAGACAAACTCCACTCTACATCCTGGCACCAGACAAACTCCACTCTACATCCTGGCACCAGACAAACTCCACTCTACATCCTGGCACCAGACAAACTCCACTCTACATCCTGGCACCAGACAAACTCCACTCTACATCCAGGCACCAGACAAATTCCACTCTACATCCTGGCACCAGACAAACTCCACACAACATGCTGAAAAATCTAATTAACTGCACTATTCTGTTGTAATTTAAACCGCAGCTCCGGTTAACACGGTTGGTGTACGTACGGTGCGAAAGAAGTTCAGCACGCGTAAATTTTACAGTGTTAATGATCGCCGACGGTGCGATACATTTCCGTGCGCGCTCACAATTAGACGCTGGCTCTTTGCGGTCTTTTCTTTGCGTAGTCCGAGCCGTGAAGAGAGAGGGGGGGGGGGCAGCACACCGTGTGTGGAGTCGTTCATTGTACATCAGAGAGGCTCGCCACCGATGGCAGGGGCTCACTCGAGGAGGTTGTGGGGGGGGGTGCAAATGAAGTGCAGGAGAGGCTCTCGCGTGCGGCCCGACACCGCCCTTCAATTTGAGTGGCACCGCTGGGTCCGTCAGCCGAAGAATATGAACGGGGAGGCACGGGTCAGCGGGGGCCGTGGAGAATTTGCATCGTTTGTTGTTGTTGTGTTGTTGTTGTTGTTGTTGTGTTCACGTTCTGACGTTCCCCTACTGGACGTCTGTGATTAAAGAGATGCATAGCTCATCGGATTCCTCGAGTGTGAATAGAGATTCTGATTACGGATGTCCACGGGACAAGAGGCGAGCACAGATTAGCAATACGCCAAACCAGTTCACCACTAAATGGGTCAGATTTGTACCGATAAGTAAATTTTTATTATTATATTTATTTAAAGTGTTGCTGTCTGGTGTGCGGGCGGGTAAGAAACGCGGCGGTGGCGTCACGGCGCAAATAGGTGGCCAGTGTCAGTGTCAAACAAGTCAATGAAGATGCCTCCGGACAGTCTTGCTCATGCCACTGCTGGCGAGATGTTAAATACCTCGCATGGCATCAATGAGGTCGTGCGTTTAATCCCAACCCTGACACCTGCTGTACATTTGGAGTGGTCGCGTGGATTTTTCTCCGGGTCCTCCGGTTTTTCCCTCCACATTTAGAATCAACGTCATGCGTTTAGAGTATTTGGCTGCTGTACATTTCCACGTGATGAGCCACTTCGCTGAGCTATCATTTGTGTCCAGGTCTCTTCTGAAAAAGAGATATACAGCTCAGTGGGCCTTACCTGGTCGAATTAAAACAAAAAAGTAGTAGTAAGTGCGCCATGAAGAGTAGCCAGGGCAGAGTGTGTGTCCCACGCACTTTACACACGTGTGCCGCTCACCGTTGGCAGATGGGTTAAAGAGGCGAGAGTGTCCGATGAGATTACCTAGCCATGGCGTGAGGTCACCGGAGGTGTGGGCAGGCAGTTAGGGGGCGTGGGGCCATGGCGGTTCATGTAGCTACGGAACGATTCGCCTCCCCTAGAATCTGACGATGCTTTGTGATTCAGGGTCGCCATCAAGGGCTGACACTCGGTGAGATCTGGACTGGGCTCTGCACCCCCAAAATGTCTCTTTAGCCCACCCGGGTTCACTGCCCTTAGCGGTGTAATCACTGTTGACGGTAGCCCCTCACGCAGCAGCAACAGCTCTGCTGGGGCCACCATCCGAAAGGAGCTGGAGCCGAGCCTCGTCACGATTCAATTCAAGGATCGTTTATTTTTTTTTATTGTTTTTGTGTTTTTTCGCTTCCCATTTTTGGTGATATCGCCACCACGCCGTGACATGAATGCAGTTGGACTCTCGCAGAGCACACTGCAACCTCCCCCACCCATGTTAGGAAAGGGCCCGCAGGAGTGGATATCACAGAACTTCCTCTTAGAACCCTTCGAAGTGACCTCTATTCCATACAGTAGAGGCCAGAATTTTCCCACCCGCACTGCCCACTACTAAATAATGGCTGTCGCATGATGGTCAAACCAATATTTTTAATTCTCAGCGCTGGCATTTATTCATATTAAATGCAGAACTAAATGTAATGTTGGGGGTTTTTGTGCTGTCACTCGTGACCAGGCTACGGCCAGCCACTCACTGCGTTTGAGACCACGGTTTGTGTCACAGGTGGTTAAACCCGGGATTCACACCCAGGATCTCAACGGTTCAGCTCCGACACACGCAGCCACATCTGCACGTCCAGTCTCAGAGGCGGCGTGCCGCGGCAGTCCCAGCGGTGCTGCGGTCGTTTCTGAGTCGCAGCGATATCCCGGTTTACATCGGCGATGCGTTCTTGAAAGGTGTGACGACGAATATTGAAACGACGTCAATCGAAGCGATTTACACAACCTAGGTGGCAGAGGCGACGCCTGAGAGGCGACGAGTCACGAGAAAGGACGGACAATGCTATCAGCGACGTAAGCGTGGGGTTGAGGCGACGCAAATTGTCAGCTAGTAGCGGTGTTAGTAATACATGGACGGCGTGTTTGTGAAACGAAGTTAAACGGGGAGACGTATATCGGGGTATTACTTTACTGGGAATGACAGAACCTGACGGTTCGCAAGCGAGGACAGACGAACTCTCCGTGCCGTTCAGTGGCCGATCCAGCAATCCCACCCACCACCTTCCTCTGTCGATTGGTCGAGGCGCAGTGCGGCAGGAGGCAGCCGTCAGCCCCCACCCCCGGCCCTCTCAACGCGCTCAGTCGCGCATCTGCAGCTGGAGACCTCTGCTGTGCACAACCAGAAATCTAGAGACTGTGCCGTGCGTCCAGGCGTCGTGTTAACAAATGATATACGGCAACTTATACCTTTACAATATATATGAATTCTTGTACCGTTGGGACCGTGAGAATAGCAATCAAAATAATAATAATTTAACTTTAGAAAGCGTCATTTATGCTGATTGCATCCCACAACGCCACCCGAAACGTCACCCATTCAGAATCAGAACATTTATTTATACTGCAGGAATCCGATGAGCTATAAAACTATTTTTCACGGGTGTGCAGTATTTTATATATACCTTTCCTTTCAAGGCCACGGTGCTATTGACGAACGTGGTGAGTGTTTTATTCTTTTGTGCTTAAGCACCACTGCCAACGAAGCATCGCCAAACAATTTGTTTAATCAATGTTCGAAGTGACCGTGGTGGCTCAGAGGCAGGAGCAGCACCAGCAGCACTGAGGCCTTTATCTCAAATATGCATATCAGCCCCTTGTGAATAAGCCTGGTTTCTCAAGTGTGATGAGTTGATGGTGATGGTCTAAGACCCGTCACCGATGACTGCCCATATGAAGAAGAAAAAAAGATCTTCCCTTAATTGGCTCAATTCAAGTACCTCGTTGTGTAAACATAAAAAATCCACTGGAGGGGTTTTCAGAAGTTTTACGACACTCTCTTGTGCTGACACACGGGAGCTACACTCCTCTCTGAGATTTCCCAATGGATTCTTTGACTCGTGGCATGATGCCAATAGCACAACGGGAAAAAATGATGGAGAAGAAGGCCAATACATTTCTACTTCTATCCCGTATAATATTAGAAACATGTTTTGATGGCTGTCTGGCTGGCTGGCTGGCCACGCCCCGGCGAGCGCGTGTTCTGAGTGTGCGTACGTATGTTGAACTTCTTTCGCACCTACGTATCGACCCGTGCTAATCGGAGGTGATTGGCTGGAGGCCATACACCGCCCAGAGCCCGCGGTGGTGAAATGTTAACTACCTGACCTGGCCACAAATGATAGCTCAACTAAAGTGGCTTATCATGTGGACATTTCATAGCAGTCAAATAATCTAAAAACGGAGCTGATGCATTAATGCTTTCAACATTGATTTGGAAAGTGCTAAAAAGAATACACTTTAACTCACAAATTGA